CTATCTATCTATCTATCTATCTATCTATCTATCTATCTATCTATCTATCTATCTATCTATCTATCTATCTATCTATCTATCTGATGTATGAAAAGCTGGAGAAGGGCCAGGGCCTGAAGGAGGAACTAGAGAGGATGTGGGAAGTCAAGGCCAAAGGGGTCCCAGTGGTGGTAGGAGCACTTGGGGCTGTGACTCCTAAGCTGGGCGAGGGGCTCCAACAGGTCCCAGGAACAACATCTGAGCTCTCTGTCCAGAAGACTGCAGAGCAGAGGAACAGCTCAGATGCTGCGCAGAACCCTCAAACTCCCAGGCCTCTGGGAGAGGACCCGAGACTGAGGAAGACACAGACCACCCACAGGGGTGAGGGGGGATTTTTTAAATATAAATTTATAAACTGGTTCCCAACAACTTGGAAATAAGGAACCAAGCTCTGTTGCCCAGATGCCCAGTCTGAGCCCCTCCATAGCTTTAAGTGGTGAGAACTGCGTCACTTGCACCGTCCCACCGTCTCTACTGCTGCGTCTGGCCCATCTGATGTTTGCTTATGTGATCATCGTATCACCGGTCCCTTTGGCGGGGACTAGAAGCTTCCTCTTTTTTTCTTTCTCTTTTGGCAGAGAAAGAGTGAAGCGGGGCTCTTAAACCGTAGACCTCCCCCCCCACTCCACATTCTCTACCCATGACTCTTGGCAGGGCTGGCGTAAAGAGTATTTCCTAGAACAGTCCGTCCCGCTGCATCCTTCCCTCCCTCCGTCAGTTGCCCCTCTTTCCATCTCAGCGCTCCAATGTTCAGCCCAGGCTCGGCATCAGAAGGCAGACAGGAGGGAAGGGGGTCCAGTGGCGCAGATGGAACCTCCTCTCTTGTTTATTCGGTGTGTTGATTTTTTGTGCCCTGCTTTCCCTTGTATAGTCTATTTCCCATTTGTTTAGCTTTTCCGAGATGACTAAGAAGGGGATATGTTTATCGCCATAACACCCTGCACACACCTGCCCTTGTCTGATCCCAGCTGCTGGACAGAACTAATGTTTGGACAGGAGGAAAGTAGTCTGGAGCCATCTGGGTACACGAGCAGAGGGCTGGAGTTCAAATGCTGGATGGCCTGCAGAGCTCATCCAGCTTCAGGACGGTGGTTTCGAAAGCCAGAACTGAATTATTTTCCCCGCCCCTTCCAAATGCCTTGACTTAATTCCATGCCACTTCAAATTCAGAGGGAGCCTGCTTCCATCTTGCTGAGCATCTAAATTGTCTACCACCCTTTCGTCTCTTCTCCTTTCCTGCATCTATCAATTCCTGCTCCTCACCTATTCTCTATCATGGTGCTGCTTTGCAACTGCGGTAGGGATCAGAGTATGAAAGCAAAGCTGGTTGGGGGAAGAAGGAGGGGTCATCTTGCCCCTTGTGAAGAATGAACATCCAAATGCAGGAGATTAATTTTTCTAAGTCAGTGTTTTTCACGCTGGCTGGGGAATTCTGGGAGTTGAAGTCCAGGCATCTTAAAGTTGCCAAGTTTGAAAAGCAGTGAATTAGACTGTTTTGTGTATACAGTGGTACCTCTAGTTACGAACACCCCTACTTACGAATTTTTCGAGATACGACCAGCCCTGGCCCCAAAAATTTACCTAGACTTGCGAACTCGCCTCGACTTACGAACTGGATCCGCGGCCATTTTTACGCCCGTGCCACGTAGTCTGCGGCCATTTTTACGCCCGTGCCGCGTGGTCCGCGGCCGTTTTTCCGCCCCTGACGCGTGGTCCACGGCCGTTTTTCCGCCCCTGACGCGTGGTCCGCGGATGCCGGAACAGATTAACGGTAATTA